TTTTGAATTATCATTTATCGATTATACAAAGAAGACTTCTGAAAAAAAAATGAGATGAACACAGTTGCTTCATTTTGCCCCTTTTTTGTCACAAATTCTGTATTGTTTTGATGACAAAATGAAACAAAAAGACTTCTGTTTGACATGGACTCCTTTGAAAACAAGTAACAATCATAAAAAAAGGGTGCAAACTTTCTTTAAAAGAGTTCATTAAAAAAAAAAGGACCTTCCCCTTTCTTTCTTTTTTTTGAAAACTGGGGATGCTAAATTTGTTTTTTTACTTGGCCTAACAAAAATGTAGCAATTTGTAGAGGGTAACAAAAGGACTTACTGAATGACTTAAATATTTTCTTATAATTCCTTAGCCTTTGGTAACCATCCTTTACATGCTTGGTCACACAGATAGTTTTTTCATACCTTGTTACTGTTTATTAAATTGTTAACTGTAGAGTTTTTTGTTTATTTTATTATCGGCAACTTGTATTTGTAGTTTAAGAATTTATGAACAAAGAAATCTAAAAAGCTTTACATTTTTCATTAAGCAACTAGTTCATGACGTTGTGTCGTTGTCTGGAAGAAAGGGAATTCCTCTGTTTCTAATCGATCCTCTTGTACTTCAGAAAATAAAGAGTTACAATGGTACGAGTGCCATATCTTGTCAGCTAATTTGTCTTAACCAGAGAGTTACATATCTGGCAACTTTTAGTCAGTTTGCTGGAGAACTGGAAAAGGTAGGCTTTTACCAATTTTACCTACACATATATATGTATGAGATTAATGTTTTCACTCATACAGCCATGCACTAAAGTTTGTAAATTTATTTTTATGTTTTGGTCCATCAGATTAATAAATTTACAATTTGATTGGTCAGCATATTACTCCAATTGTTTGTTTAAACTTACAAAAGGGATAAATTAATGAGTATAGATAAAGTTTGTAGGACTTGTTATCTGTATTATTAATAAAAACTGCTTCTGAAAAATAACAAACGTTAATTTCACATAAGTCTTACCAAACAGAGTAATTCATTAATTTATTGCACAAACTATCCAGAAAAAGAACACCATTACATTGTCAGTGATTGTGAAATTAAAACCTCAGAGAAATTTTTACAGTTTTAGACAAATAAGTTAAAGTTAGTTTATCAAAAATTACAATTTAAGAGAACTTGAAAGTTTTGGGTGGATTAGCCTTGAATAATTGAATTGGAATTGTTTCTAATAAAAACGTTGATATTAAAAATATACAGTAGTTAGTATTTATGATTAATGATACCTGAAACTGTTGGTACTTGGTGAAATTCTATAATTACAAAATTGAGTAAAGGCATCACCAGGTACCTTTATGAGGCAAAACCATGGTCGTAATAAATGATGTATTTGTGAAATGTACAATTGTCTTGTTTTTCCTCAGTTCTGATATTTATTATTGTTATTTTTATTATTATTAACGACAGCAATCCTCATGGTTAACAACAGCAATCCTCCTGGTTAACACATTATAGAAAAGAAAGTTATTGACAACAGATCTTTCTTGAAATATTGTGATGGTTTTTCAGACTACATTACTGTAACAATAGCATAGAGAAGTTTTGTTGTTAGAAAAAAGTTAATTTAGTTATCTAATAAGAATCCCTGATAAAAAAGAAAAAAGTTTGAACTAAGTCAGACTGTAGCATTGTACTTTATAGGATTTTTATCCCTAAACTTGTAACGATTTTATCAATAAAAGATTTCAATGGGCTTAGTAGTTTTTGTAAAATAGTTTCAAAGAATCTATAGTTGTAAAATATATTTGAATAAGGTTGTATATTGGCCATGATTTTTTCTGCCTTACGAATGTAAATAGATAAATATATAAATATGTTATTTAACATGACTTAATGCTCACTTGCAGTCCAAACACTTTCATCCATGTGAAAGTGTTATCATTTATCCTAACTTCATAACAGTAGTAGTTATGTTCATGATGTGAGAAAAACACATAGGTTCAAGAAGTCTTAATATAAAAATGATAAAAACCCTGTAACTCGAGCATTTTTGAAAGTGCTCAGGCTACAGGGTTTTTATCATTTTACTAGTAGGTATGGGTCATGTTTAAGGCTGGGTGATTAATCGATAACCTATAAGCATTGATTAATGTCACATAAAATAATTGACTAATTTCAATCAATTGACCAATATGGTACTTAACTCTTCCCACAAGATTAATTGTTCTCCTTCAGTACTGCCCTCTATATGCAAACTTTTTCTTTACGCATGCCACAAGCCTTTTGTTCCCCCCCTGTTGGAATTACTATATTCCAACATGTCTCGCATCTAAATCATCATGCATCATATACTAACCAATAATAGCATGATATGCTCACGTGATGCATGTGACTCTCTCTACAGTCCTCTACCAAACCTTCACTTCTCGTTTGGGTTAAGATGTACTCTTTTGTGTGCCTAGCGCTTCCAGTGTGACAATTTTTTTTTTCACATGAAGTGGTTTCTTTTTACTTTATTTTCTTTTATACCAGTTCATTCTTGTTGCTATATTTCTGCACTCTAATTTTGTGCTCTGAATTCTGAAGTTCATATGACCACTTCAGAGGTCACACCAATGACCAATGTTTTTTCTCAGGCCTCAGGGGTGGGCAACCCGACAGTGGATCCCTCTGCTTTTATACGTCGGGAGATTGTGCACTATATGCATGAACCTTTGTCCCCAGACATCGCCCAGGCTCCTCCTGAGTCGTCTGAACTTGTTCAGAATGACAAGGAGTTTGATTGTTTTTCCCGCCTTCAGAGTTTGCTGTTCCTTACAATTGCAGCCTGAGGAATCACCTAGGCTTAATTCAGTATTTTCGGATTTTATCTCAAGTCACCACCAGTACTGATGACTACTCTATGGGTTCAGGTCTGGTGGGAGCTTGGCTATTAGAGTTTCTTCCTTGCTGGCATCCCTTCATCGATGATCAGTGGGTGAAACGGGTTCTGTCAGAAGAATTTGTTATCCAGTTTCTTTCACCACCTCCTGTTTCTCCTTGCCCCAATTCCTTCCCTCCTCCTTGAGATCCTGTGACCTGCCAGCATCTGTCAGAGGTGGTTCGAGAATTGCTTTTGCAGTGGGCAGTCGAACTGGTTCACCATCCTTCCAGGTGTTTTTATTCCCCTCTTTTCGTTGTCCCCAAGAAAACCGGGGATTGGTGGCCAGTCATAAATTCATCTCTACTGCTTCAGTGCACTCCCCAAGTTCACCATGGAGTCTTTTCTCCCTCTGAGATGAGCATTTTCCCAGGATTGTGGATGGATGACGAAAATAGATGTCTTCAGTGCTTATTTACACATCCCAATAACACATCAGTCTTGACCTTACCTTTGGTTTGTCCATTTTGGGGTGGATTACCAATTTTTGGCCCTCCCCTTCAGGCTTATCTCGGCTCCTTACATGTTTTGTTGCATAGTCCGGGCCTTTGCACTTCATCTCCATCTTCTGGGGATGTGATTTCATTATTACATGGATGACTGGCTCATTCTGAGCAGGAATTGGACATTTATATTCATCAACTCCTTTCTTTGGCAGCTGGGGGGAGGGGGCTATTTGATCAAATTGGAGAAGTCATTCCTTCGACTCACTCAGCAGCTAGTCCATTCTTGTCCTTTTCAACACAAATATCTGTCAAGCTCTGCCTTCTCCTTTACGTCTTCATTCAATGGAACTTTTGGTTCACCATGACTCCATGCACTTATAGGATTTGATGCAAAGGAATTTACATACAATCCAGCAAATCAATATATATAACTCATCAGTCAGTTTATGGTGAGAATGATCTCTTATGCTTTGTGTGTTTGTTACCAATACAGGTTTTTATTTATTTCAAACTGACACACGTGTACATGAATTATATATATGTACCAGTGTGTGCACAATGTTTATGAGAAAAGATATGTATGCAGACACTATAAATGATTGAAATTAGGGTTTCTTATTATTACTGTTTTTGATTACTCGGACTATCCAAGTGATAGAAATATTGCCATTATGATTTCTCATTATTATTTTCCATTAAATCAAGCTTGTTTAGATTAATTGATTAGTGTTTCTGATTATAATTATTTTGGATTATTCCACCTATTCAAGTAATCAAAATATTGGCATGATGATATGCTTGTGTTCCGCTTGTACACAATTCGTAAATGTAAGGGTGTGGCTGTTGGCTACATAACTAGTCACTGTGATGCAAATTATTCATGTTTACCTTCTATATCTAAATAATAGTGTAACTTTAACGGGATATTAAAATATATTGCTTACTTATGACAAGCTACAAATGTAACCAGTGTTACTTAGGTAAGATTCCTTTAATAAAAAAAGTTACAACAAGGTAATAGTCGTTATTTTCAAGAAAAGCTGATTGCTATATAACTTGCTCATTTAACTGCGTTTGTCAGAAATTACTAAACATGAACTAGCAGTGTGTAATTCTGTTGAGTCATTAATCTATTTACATGAACAGGCACTTGTTTAATTACTTATTCTAGCTAAATAGGAAGCCCTGGAAAAGGAAAAATAAATCTTCCTGTTGTCACATGTTGCTTAAACACTGCCTAGAACAGTAAGCAAGCTTGAAGATGTTTGATTTATTGATTTCTCATCATCCATATATGTTTCTACAGCTTCTTCCAATATGGATTCTAAAATGTAAACATATTAATCATTTTAATGTGTTCTTTCTTAACTACCATCCATATCAACAACATCTTACTTGAAAGTTTATGATGTTTTTTATACTTAGAAAAGTTATTTTTCTAACTCTTTCATACTGCTGATGTCTTTGTTTCTGTAAGATTGGCACTAATTTGTTTTCACATAATTATATAAAATATCACACACACACACACACACACACACACATTGTAAAAAGAATCTTTACTAGTTTTATTGCATGAAATCTAAGGACCGTTATTTTTAACAAAGAATTAGTAAAGTAGTTTTATCAAAATCTTTAGGGAACAGTTTTAATCATATTTTCAGACTGTTACAAGCTTTGCACTCCATTGCCTATACATTGCATGTTCGTATTCAATAGCTTAGGATTAAAATAGTAACTTAATCAGAAATTGTTATTCCTGAATATGTCTGTAATATTAAATGAAGGTTACTTGAAATAAATGGAAACAGGAAAATTAGTCTCATGTGAGAATATAATTTTGTGGGGTGTAATTGATTAGCAAATTTTCACTAGTCACCCAGCTTTAGTATTCATGTTACAGTTGTGGATTGCTAACTGCCTACCTTACATAGGCGTTTACTGTTTTTTCACAACCAAAAGACTAAGTTAAATCCACTGAACAAGACTTGTAATTCAGCTTAATCTTCTCGATGTATTAAGTTATACCATTTTCATAACAATACCTTACCCCACCACCTTCACAAGATTTAGTTATAAAAGTTTGATGAGATTTTTCATGAAGTTGAAAAATGTGTGGTGTAAGTGAGAATCCCAACTCATTCTCATGGTGAGAGAAATCAGTACTTCCACTTTTACCAGAACAGGACCAGTATAGAAAAGTTTTTCCAAAAAAATTCAGACTTTGATCATCTGTCACTTTTATTTATTTTTTTCATATGTGAGTTGTCTTTTTATTACACTATTTTATTCCATGAACATACTACTTGTGTTGGCAAAGATGGAAGGAAACAGTTGTTTGTTAATGCTCAGAAATATTCAGTGTTGGCAAAGTTTTCTGCTCACTCTCATGCACTGAAGTTTATGAATAGATTTTGAAGGAAAAGAAAACCATAGAATTTAGATATACTTGATTTTGAACTTTATACAAAATTACTGTGTATTATTTCTAACTTCAGAATTTTGAAGTTTATAGTAGAACTAGCTTGAAGTATAATTGATTTGTTATACTTAAGTTATATTTAAAGAAGAAATACTTTGTTATAAGAAAGAATAATTTTGAATTTTCTCTTAGGCATCTTTCAGAGAAGGACTGGAAGAGAATGGATATAGTATTGCTCTAAGTAATGGTAAAAATCCCTCTCTTCTTCGTCATGGATTTCAAGTTAACATTCCACTTCATGCCTTTGTTTCATCAAAACATCACAAGTTCCTTGTGCTCATCGTTATATTTCAGGAACGGTCTGGAAATTTCTGGTGGCATGGGAAATTGGGTTTTTCTTCAGAACAGTTGAATAATTTGGGAATCTCTCAAGATGAGCTGAACTACAGCAACCAAGAGGCTGCATATGAAAAGTAAGTCAATTTTATTAACAATATTTATCTAGCATGTTGTTTAACCTTTATAGTTTAGAGGATTTACTAACCCTCTACTGACCATACTGAACTTGAAATGATGAATAAGGAACGGATTGAAGATAAGAGACAAGTAAATCCCTGTAAAGGATTTCCTAACCCTCTACTGAGCCTGAAGGAAAGGATTGAATATAGAAGATAAGTAAATCCCTGTGTGGGATTTCATGATCCTACTGAGCCTGAAGGCATTAATAAGGAAAGAATTGAAGATAGCAGATGATGAAATCCCTGTCATTAACTAGTTGGTCCTGAGAGCATTTGGTTTGCTACTTTTCCAGTCATCTGTTCACCTTGAAGGGAACCATGAATAAGGAAAAGTCCGGTTTAACCTGGTAGGTTCTTAGAAGATTTGATTTGCTCATTTTCCATACAGTTCTACTTGTCTTTTACATAATCAGTAAAAGGAAAAACATTAATGTATATTTCCAATTTCATTTTTAGAAATTCTCTGGTAATCAATTCTGAAATACCTAGTCTTTGTAAAATAAAAGAAACAAGAATTTATGTAATGAGACAGACATAATATTGTAGATTTTAAAGTTAAAAGCATAATAAACATAAAAGTAATTTTCAAAGAACAGATAGTCCTTTTTTATAAATTTAAAGTTGACCATAGAATTAATGATGGGGTCTACATGCATCCCATTAGCATTTTAAACACATTTTTTTTATAAACGTTTTATTCACTGAATCTCTTGTGGATCCATGAATGTAATCCATTAATTACTGCTGGGGTCTCCTGTAGAAAATGAGTGATATCAAGCAGTTTGTTTGGTCAGTTCTTTACATTTGGGTAATTAATAGACAAAAATAAAATCAACCAGTACGATGCAATACATGGACTCCACCAGTAGTGAACAATATAAAAACAGATTTGTAATTTGATGCTTAAGTTTGTCAATTCATGGAACTAATATAACAAGAATTAAACCAAAAATTCTGCAACAAAAAGAAAGAGGGGAAGTAAAAATCTAAACTTCCTTTAACAAAATAGAGAAAATAAGAGACTGAGAATAAATTACCATGTTTTTACAGAGTAGAAATTCATGCTGCTCATGTGGATGGCATTAAGGTTCAAGTTCCTGTCAGTCCGTCAGTGTTTCTACAATCTCCAAAGGATGTGGCCTTCATAGAATGTAACTATGATCGTGCCAGAAAGTTTCAGGAGACATATGGAAAAGACACCAGTCCAGAGGCCCAATTGTTTCAGCAAAATGCCAGAAAACTTCTTGTAAAAGCCAAGGAGATATTGGATGGTTTAGGTGTTCCTTTCTGGCTGAGTAGTGGTACATGTCTAGGTAAAGAAATGCAAAGATAGATGATTTATTTTAGTTTATAAGGCATGTCTTGTTATATTATTGTATATAAAAGTTTTGAGACGGCTTGACTGGGTAATGAAAAACTTTATTATAACTTTACGACATTTTGACAATCCTCAGGTACCTTAAAAGTTGGTTTCTTGTTATCAAGTTTTAACTATTGTATATGGTTACTGTGCTTGTTTTGAGTGACAAAGAACTGTGGATCATAGGAAAAAAGCATACAAATATAGTAGAGACTGAACTTAAACATTTCTTCCTGGTGAAGAAGGCCAGAGCATCTAGAATTTGTGGTCATTTTAAAAGACTAGTTTGTCAGTAAATAAGATTTTGAAAGTTAAACAAATTTATTCATGTGTTCTGAAATGGTTATTGAAGTGATTGTGTTTTCACAACCTAATGGTTGTGACACATTATGCAGTCAATGATATAAAATGTTATTTTGATTAAAGAAATAGAAGAGTAAAAAAATGGGGTGGTGGTGTTTTGTTTGGCCTAACTGTTACTATTGGTTTCTCAATATTCATTTGAAGTTATTAACACTAACTTACAGCAACTTGCAAGTTTTTCAATAAATTAATAAATTGGTACTAATTAGAATATATACTCTATATTGATAATATTCAACAGCTTTTTCTTATTCTTTCTTTCTCTCTTTTTTTTTTTTTTTCAATCTCATAAATAATTGGTGCAAATCTCTTATGAGAGGAAAATGTTTTTAAATATTAAGTTTATATAGCGTAAGAATTGAGAAAAAAGTTTATATTTTCAAGCAACAAATTGTGGAATTTGTGGTTTCTGGTGTTTAGTTGTTTCAGTTTCAGCCAATCATCTTGAGAGTTTTAATTTAACATTAGAATCACTAGACATTTGACCTGTGAGCAAAAGGAAAATGATAATTCTGATTTTGGAGTATTATTTTACTTTTATTTCTACTTATGTAAAAATATTTTGTTTGATGATGCTTTTAAATCAGAAATTCTTGTGTCTCCTTTTGATTTACATTTTAAATTACTACACTGACATAACTTTTATGCATTTGTAGGATTTTTTAGGGAGTGCGATATCATACCCTACAGCAAAGATGTTGACCTGGGTATTTGGATCAAAGATTATCGCCCTGAAATTATTCCAGAATTTTCTACTAATAACATCCCATTAACTCATCAGTTTGGAAAGGTATTCCAGTGCTATATTTTTGCCTGTGCTCTAGATTAAGAGAATAATGGAGCATAATGTTCCATCTTTAGGTAAAAAGAAAAAGGTGCTTAGTAGTATTTAAAAACTACTTCATATAAGTTTTTTTATTCGTGACTTTTTTTTAAAGAATAAAATGAGCTATGAAAAATTAATAAAACTGTATGAAAATATGTAGCTTGCCAGAAGTTTGAATCAGAGAACCCGTAAACCACAATTAAAAATAGGTATATAGTTTTAATAAGAAGTATGTGTTTATAGTATTAAAAAAATTCTAAATTATACCAATGCAGTGTTTCACTTAGAGCTGGTTGATTAAATTAGTTGATTGATTATATTGATTTGTGTCTTTTAAAATAAGCATTTAATCAAAATTATGATGAAATTGATTAATACCATGAAAATAATCAACTAATTTTTTAAATTATTACTAATTTAGATTATTCCAATTATTCAGTAGTCAAAAGTACAATTACATAAACTAATTTCAATACAATATTGTACTTCCTCTCACAAAATAGCTTTTCAGAATTAGTACTGCCATCTATCGGTGCAAATTTTCAATGCTTGCCAGTTGCTGTCCACCTCCCACTTCTACATATCAACATATAACTAAATGATTGTGCAGCAGGAGCGTGACACACACCTATCGTAACCAGTGCCCTCTCCACACTTGCACTCATTTCATCACTTCTCGATTGGCAGTAGTACTCTACAAAAAAGCATGTATTTGTTTGCAAGTTTGTCAACGTATTCCTTTATACTACAGACTTAGTTTTCCTTTACTATGTTTTTGTTATTTCTTTACTTACAGGGGCTAGTGTATTGTGGATCCCACTCTGTGGCAAGTGGTGCCTGACTAGGTATACTGTTCATCCTGTGGCCATGCTCAGTGTCAGTTATATTGTAGCTCTTCCTACCATGGACCTGATGTACAATTCAAGATGCTGCCGGGTGTTGGTTGTGTGTCTCCGTTCAATTGTCATCTATACCGAAACAATTATGTCGCACGATTACGTTACGCACACTGTAGAGATGGAGTGTTCTGGTCTTTTGCTCCATAACTATGTTCATCTCAGACTTTACATGAGTAAAGCAGACAGGGATTGCTGCCCATCTCTGATGCTCCATGGCATTGAGACTCTTCTTTTCATGAACCTGATGTACAATTCCAGATGCCACTGGATGTTTTCAAAATAGGGTATTGTGGTTCTCCAAACTCTCCAACACATTTTTTCCCTCCTTTCTTCTAGTGGACCATGGAGGCCTGTCCTCCTGATTGATGCATCATACCACTCAATTGACAGTACGGTGGTGGCATTCTGTGGGTGTTGATGGTGTATAGCACATTTTACCTTGGACCTGATGTACAATTCTAGATACTGCCAGGTTTTGGTTGTAGCACTATGCTGTATTAATGTATATATATCTGACAAATTACTTTTTCCCACTGTGGCATTCCTCCTTCCTACCATCCTCCAGATGTACATTCCCGGGCAGTCTGGTATTGGTTGAAGATGGCCAAGTCATGAACTTGGTTGAAGATATATGTATGTGTATATATATATATATATATATATATATATGTATTGCAGTTTATCCCTCAGGCTAAGACATTCCTTCTATCTACCATCCTCCAAATGTGTCTACTGGGGGAGGGGGTCAGGTGTTTGTTGGAGATGGTCCAGCTAAGTAAGTCCTCACATGTATTCTGACTGTGGACTGGAGGAAAAATTCCCCATGCTGCCAGGTTTTGGACTGGAGATAGACCCCAATTTTGCGGTCCCTCTTCCTACCATCTGCTGGATGTTGGTTCCTGATGAATCTGGTGTTAGTTGCAAGAACCATACACAATGCTGCCAGGTTTTGGACCATAGATATCTCCTTACCATGGCTTTTCTCCTTTCTACCCTCTGCTGGATGTTAGTTCATGGTGGATCAGGTGTTGGTTGAGTTGGAAATGCACACAAATGGAGATGGATTTTTGTATGGAAGCTCGTCTTCCCAACCAATTTCCATTTAAAGATGAAGAGGTAGGTGATCCTTTACCTACTACGAAACTGTTGTACTATTCCAGATTCCGCCAGGTGTTGGATGAGGTCAAATTACCATTACGGTATGTAGCGTCCTAGCCACTCTACACCCTGGGGTCCCATTAATAGGTAATACGTATTATAGGATCCCTTCGTGTTCATCGACCTTTTGTGTTTGAAACATAGTCATAAAAGAACAGAGAGTATACTTGGATCACTCTTATTTGATGAATAACTAATTTTATTTTCTTGTGTCTTCAAACACTAATGCACAAAACACATCACCTTGATAATAGAGTTATGTGGGTAATCATTATTTCTATAGGAGGAAGACAGTTTTGAGCTTTCCTTCCAGGACAAGGATATCAAACTAGACATATTTTTCTTCTATGAGGAGAAGGACTATGTTTGGAATGGAGGAACTCAAGCCAGGACAGGCAAGAAGTTCAAGTAAGTTTGGAATATTACCGTTAAATAATTTTATCTACATATCTTCTGTTTAAAACATATGCTGTTAGATAATATGTATAGTTGTAGTATCACAAGTGTTTTAGACCTAAATAATGTGTATAACTTTAGTATCACCAGTGTTTTAGACCTAAATAATGTGTATAACTGTAGTATCACCAGTGTTTTAGACTTAAATATTGTCTATAACTGTAGTATCACCAGTGTTCTAGACTTAAATATTGTCTATAACTGTAGTATCACCAGTGTTTTAGACTTAAATATTGTCTATAACTGTAGTATCACCAGTGTTTTAGACTTAAATAATGTGTATAACTGTAGTATCACCAGTGTTTTAGACTTAAATATTGTCTATAACTGTAGTATCACCAGTGTTTTAGACTTAAATAATGTGTATAACTGTAGTATCACCAGTGTTTTAGACTTAAGTAATGTGTATAACTGTAGTATCACCAGTGTTTTAGACTTAAGTAATGTGTATAACTGTAGTATCACCAGTGTTTTAGACTTAAGTAATGTGTTTAACCATAGTACCACCAGTGTTTTAGACTTAAGTAATGTGTATAACCGTAGTACCACCAGTGTTTTAGACTTAAGTAATGTGTATAACCGTAGTATCACCAGTGTTTTAGACTTAAATAATGTGTATAATTGTAGTATCACCACTGTTTTAGACTTAAATAATGTGTATAATTGTAGTATCACCACTGTTTTAGACTTAAGAATAACAAACTATTGCATTGTTTACAAATAATGTGTATAACTGTAGTATCACCAGTGTATTAGACATTTTTTCCCCTGACTGACAGTTCGTGTATTCTATGAATGTGTGTAATAAAATTCAATATTATTTATATAGATTTTTTTTCTTTTTTTACTCCTTCACTTCATACATAATATAGAGGTTAGCTCCCTAAAGACACTGATTGTATAGTGTACAAAACATTGAGTGTTTTACATGTTACAGTCACCTAATGTTCATCAATTATTGGCTGGTAATTCCTGTTTCACTCTGTACTTTAACTCTTTAAAGAAACATCAGATATTTGTAAGAAAGCTAACTTCAAGGGGTAATGATAACATTGTTCAAACTAGAATTATGATTATTTTTTAAAATTACCACTAGTTATTACAACTAAGTTATGAAGTTGTGCACTGCCCAGAAACACATAGAGTGGACTTAGGTTTAAACTGACATTAGTGGTAAAGTAGTTGTAGAGTTAACTGGACTAAAACAGGAAGAAAGATAAACAATTTGGTGGGTTGGTTATTTTTTGATTTGATTTTTTTTTTGCATTGTTTTTGGACTTGTTGGATAGAGAAGCAAATAAAAGTGAGAGACAATCATCTTTTAAATTAAAATTTTTTTTTTTAGTGTGCATACTTGTATAGTGCCTGTTGAGAACTTTGGCCATTGCTACATATAGTCTACTGACTCTATGATAAAAATAGTCAGGTTAATAGAGTCTTAGGAACCTATCAGGTTAATTGTAAACATGAAGTGATTATACATAAGAAAAGTCGATCTATCGAGCATGTCAGTTATAAATGTAAGGTGGCATTGGTAGGAAAGAAAACTAGTTAAGCCAGCAAGCAAGTTGGAAATGTAAGGAGACTTATATAATTCAAAAGGTTATATTAGTTAACAGAAAATTACCAATATAAGATGCAATGAAATTTATAGGATACAAAAGTTATAATCTCCTTAGCTATAAATTTTATACAGAAATCATGATTCAGATATGACTAGTAATTTTACACTATTACATAAAATTTTGATGTAAAGAACTCTAAATCTACTGTCTAGAAATGAGTTTTATGGTTGTTTTAAAAGCTGCAGTTTGTGTGGTATGTAAGCATACTAAATGTTTTGTACTCCCTTACTTATTGAGTATGTTACAATGTAGTTTTAATATAGATTATAGGTCAAAAGAGCTACTGAGTTCCTCTCACCCTAGTTACTTACTGAATTGGGTTATTCAACTAGGGCATCAAATGCACTTTCTCATGGGAAAGATTTCTGTAAAGTAGAGCATACTGTATAGAAAAAGACAGTGACCTTTTCCACCGGCAAGTCAGGTGATACCTCACAGTCAAATAATCCCTTATTTGGTAGTGAGAGTGACTATCAGTTGTGTCAGTAGTACCTGCATCCTGAGAAAAATGGTATTGTTGTTTTTCTTATAAATTTCTGGGTTTTCTTAGTGTGGAAGATATTGATTTGATTTTCATTCTACATAGTTATTCTCTGAGAGCTCTTTAGCAAGTGCACCAAAATGATATGTTTGCTTTTAAACTTTGTTGTTTGTTTGAAATAAATATTTTTTCACTGTATTATAAATTGTGCCCAGCATTTATATTTTATTTCAACTCAGTTGAGGTTGGAGAAATCAGATTTTTTCTCTGTGATACATTTTCTGTCAGGGAATTTAGTGCATCTGTGAATACCCTAACTGTACACATATTAATATGTATGATTGTTCTAAAAACTGCAGTTTGTAATATAAGGAATTTTATTTTTAATGTGTAGAAATGAGTTTACGTTTTTTTGTATTCTGCAGTTTATAATATGAAGAATTCTCTCTCTCTATATATAGAAATGAGTTTTATGAGCTGCAGTTTTTAAATACAAAAAATGTGTCATTACTATGTAGAAATGAGTTTAATAGCTGTTTTATAAGCTGCAGTTTGTGATATAAAAAAATTATTCCTTTACTTTGTAGAAGTTAATTTAAAGTTGGTTTAAAAGCTGCATGTGTACAATGAACTTGGAACAAGTCTAAAAAACTTTTTTTTTCACACAACAGTACATACCATTGTTCTGAAGTTTCAATGCATCAGTTTGATCCATTCAGACAGTTAATGAAATAAGTAGTTTAATATGTTTTTTTTCTGTAAAGATATCATGCTCTTGATTGCTTTGTTTTTCCACTATGTTTCTTTAGGTATATTTTTCCAAACTTCACACTCTGTTGGACAGAGTTCCTGAACCTGAAGGTACGAGTTCCTTGTCAAACTAAGGACTATATTATTGCCAACTATGGGAGCAACTGGTTTGAACCAGTTAAAATTTGGGACTGGAAAAAAAGCCCACCCAATGTGCAAGAAAATGGCAAGTGGCCCCTAGAAGATTGGCCTGAAGTAATCCAACTCCTTCCTTTACTAGGAGAAAATTGAGTTTAAGTAGCATAACTGGAGTTGTTGAAACAACACTATCCTACTAAAAGCCATGGGACAGGAGTAGTTATGAATAAAACATGTCTTTATTTCAAGAAATTAATAGTGTGTTGGCCCACCTTTGGCCTTAATGACTGCTTCAATGCAGCAAGCAAGACTATAAACTAATTTCTGGTAGAAACCTGGTGGTATTGTGCACCACTCCTGCTTTAAAGCATTAGTAACTCCACTACTGAAGAGGGCTGTCTTGGGGCTGCCCAAATTCTGCATTCCAGTTCATCCCAAAGATGTTCTGTCAAGTTGAGGTCGGGGCTCTGTGCTGGCCACTGCAATGTTCGAATGTTATTCTCTTCAAACCATGCATTCATAATCCTTGCTTTGTGTCATGAAGTGTTAACATATTGGAAGGGCCGGTACCATAAATTTGCAACAATGTAAGACACACAGAATTGTTCAGAACATCAATGTAGGACTCGGCATTCATGGATCCATGCACTGCAACCAGTGGACCTAGTCCATACCACGAGAAGCACCCCCAGACCATGATATTGCCACCTCCAAACTTCACTGTTGGAACAAAACACTCAGGTAATAAGTGTTCTCCAGGCAACCTCCATACCCAAACACGTCCATCATTCTCTGGGGTCTGATGGCAAGATGAGGTAACCAGGCTTCTCAAGATGCATTGGCACCTATCAGTCAGTACTTTATGCTTACCTAGTTGTTTCTTGGGCTCATTGTCACCTGTGGACTTCCAATTCTTCAGCATGTTGACAGTTGTTGACCTGGGAATGTTTAATTGTTGCGCAATAGCACGTACAGACATTTTCCCCAAATGACATCTAATTATCCTTTCCCTCTGAAACTCTGTTAGCTCTTTCCATGTACTCATCGTTCGGCCAAAGCATTTGCATATTTCATCATCACACCCCATTTTCCTGCAATCAGAGGTGTGTCCCATGAATTTGGGTAGGATAGTGTATCACCATCAATGCTGAGCCAGTGGTGTTAAGTTGATAAGTGAATAAGAGCATTTATATCTAGATCTGTATAAAGAACTTTTTCCTCTAAAGTTAAAATGCATCAACAGTAATATTGTGGTCAACTACTTTTTATTTTTGGCCACTTGTGAAATATTCAGACACGTGAGTCATAAAATATCAGTGAAGCTCATCTATCAGTCAAATATTTATAGATAGCTCTAGAAAAGTGACAATTGTTCTTTATTAGTATCTTGTAGAGATAAAAGTACTAGTAAAGTGTGTGTCATGTTTGTCAACTATTTACGTAACATGCACATGGAACACTTGCCAGTTTGGTTAATCTCTGAAGTTATTATTTTTACAGCAAGTTTGCTGCTTTTGTTAGTTTTGAATTTCTTAGGCAACACCAGAAACAAGTTAGAATTTAAATGTAGTATAAGGTGCTGAAATAAAACTATAAAAGAAATGGGTAAAATTGGGAAACTTAATTTTAAACAGTAATATTTCAGTAGAGTTCATTATTATGACTTTTCCTTGCTGCAACTTATTACAAATTGAAAGTAGATCCTAAAAATCCATGACTGAATTAAATTCAAAGTATTTAAAACATACATACATGTATGAAATTTAAAATACTAATGTTTTTCAACTTAATCCTAAATTTAAAATCAAATTTTGGTTAGTAATGATCAATTACCTAGTTAGGTTTCATTTTTGGGGATATATTTTAGACTTGTATTTTCAAAATATATATTCATAATGATATTAAAAACTTTTTTTTATTTTCATAAACTCAACTAAGTTCTTATGTGGTATGAGTAGTGAAAGTTCATCCACTTAGTAAAGCAGCTGAGAAGTGACATATGTTAAAGAGGGAAGAAGGAACTGATTATTTTATGTTCATGGTTTTAATTAACTCGAAAAAATACCTGAGAAGTGACATGATGTTAAGTTAGGAAAAAGGAAGTGATTGTGTGTTCATGGTTGTGATAAACACAGAAAAATTGGTGAGAAGTGACATGACACTAAATTAGGAAAAGGGAATTGACTATTGTGTGTTCCTGGTTGTGATAAACAGAAAACTTGCTGAGAAATGACATGATGCTAAGTTAGGAAAAGGGAACCGACTGTTGTGTGTCCATGGTTGTGATAAACACAGAAAAATAACTTAGAAGTGACATGATGCTAAATAAAGAAAAGAAACTGATAATTCTGTGTCCATGGTTGTAATAGACATAGCAGCTGAGAAGTGACATGATGCTAAGTAGGGAAGAAGGAACTGATTATTTTATGTCCATGGTTGCAATAAACACAGAAAAATACCTGAGAAGGGACATTATACTAAGTTAGGGAAAGGGAACTGACTGTTATGTATTCATGGTTTTGATAAACACAAAATACTCAAGAATTGACATGATGCTATGTAAGTAAGAGGGAACTAACTATTGTATGTTTATGGTTGTGATAAACATAGAAAAAACAGCTGAGAAGTGACATGAGCTAAGTAAGGAAGAGGGAAATGATGATTGTGTGCTCATAGTTGTAATAAACGTAATTTAGAGAAACCTGTGTGGTTGATGACTGATCATGGCTACAGGTTTTCTATCATATTAATCCTACAACTAATATTGCTGTCAATATGACCACACTGGCTATTTAAACACATCTGTCTAAACTACTTGTGTGCCAAATTGTGTTTGTTACAGAGGCCTTAAAGACATATGTATCATACAAAAAATGTAAAAAAATATATCATCATTATTGTAATTCATCTATCTATGTAAAAACCAGTGATTAATGTAGTGCTTTAAATTATCACTGGTAACACTTAGAAAATATAACACCTCAATTTGTGTATGTGAAGACAGACTCATTTCAACTAAGTTATACACATATTGAAGACATAGTACATGAAGTGTGAAATATAACTTTGCATTTTAAGCTGAATTGTATGTGCAATGTAAGTGTTGGACACTTCATAGTCCTTTCATCTCCATTATCCATGAAAATTGTGCTCCCCAGTGGCACAGCTGTATGTTTGCAGATTTACAACGCTAGAAACTGGGTTTCCATACCCATTGTGGGCAGAGCACAGATAGCCCATTGTGTAGCTTTGTGCTTAAATATAAATAAACAAACCATGAACATTATTAATGGACTTGTCTTTATAAATTTCACTAATATTTGTAAATTTACAAGGTGGCTGAGAGATATATTTGTTGATTTATTAAATTTACGTGGCAATTTAGAGAGGGTTGAGTATATTATATTAAAACAATTTGAAATATACAAATCAGTAGATCACATGACAACCACATATGATCTAAGTTGCAGTATCAGAACTATCTTTTGACGTTGTTTGGTGTTAATGTAGATTTGATACAATCGAAAATTGATTGGTTTTTGGAAGGGTATGTAATAGCCATTTCTGACAAAATGTTCATACACTTGAGATCATACAGATGTGTGCAGATCAAGGATTTATAATTTCAAGGTGGGGATATTTTTTTATTTAATGGCATTAGAAAATGAAGGAATATGGATAAACTTCAGTACCAGGACCATCCAAAAAGAAGCCTGCAACAAGTCATATCCCAGTTGTGGTAAACAAAATGCAGCATCATTTATTAGGTGAATATCAAAGAAGACAAAGGTCAGTGACAAAAGTCATCCAAATATTCCAAACAATAGTTTTCAATGTAATCAAGAAAAAATTCTCAGGAAAAATGATGCAAGATGCTTTCATGCAACCATTGCATACCTCAGGCAACTGAAGAATGAGAAAGCAATTCTTTTTTCTGTACAAAGAACTACCAGTCAAATCTCAAGATGCAGTGCCTATGGATTTCTTTTTGATAAAACTTAAATTGAGTGCTGTAAAATTGTTCTCCTTAATACAATAGATGGATTATGGACAACATGCATGATGGAGTGGTTTGCTTCAGACATGACAGCCGTTGGCAGTGGAAACTACAACGCTCGTCAGATAGAGTATGACAATAGTATGGATTGTAACAACTTGGTGAGACTCCAAAATCGTTTTAATATAAAGTGCTCAATTCGACCCCTGTATGATCTCTGCTTCGTTTTATTAAATCGCCTGTTCATTTGTTAAACTACCCATTTAATTTCTGCGTGCATATACTGACTTACAAGTCTCCATGACAACTTGTTATACATTTAATAAATCAAAAGTATATTTTTTCAACCAATTTGTCAGTATGCAATTAGTAATGGCGTTTATTTACTAAATATACAATATATAAATTGCACATGCGATTTAGCTAAAATTTCAAACAATTTAATTTAAACTGTAAAAATACACTTCGTGCCGTATAGCGTGTTATTTAAATGCAACATATTGGATACATCTGCTAAAGCTTTGTATGGATTGCTGGAACATGAACAAAAGGTTTGTTGACCACATGAGACGTAATATCTCATATTTAAAAACCAATGGACAACGTTTTTCCAGTCTCAAACAATATTTAATGATGTCATTTTCCAGAACTGTATTAAATTATTTTAGTTCATTTTTTCAATATAAATTTGGTTTATTAGTGAATGGTAATGAGCAACGTTAAAAACAGAAATATTAAAAGTAATTTAACCACGCACCCTTTTTTTTTCTATAGTGAATCGTAATTCAAGACAAAATCCATTGACAAAGTAGTGTTAGTAACTAATTAAGACTAGATGATCATAATCAAGACGAAGTTCATACCACCAGATACAAAACAAAGTCCACTGAAAAAGTAGGGCTAGCAGTAAAGACTAAATAACCATATAGGTTACAACCCGTAACCGCAATTTGGTTCGTTATTTTCCTTCCTCGGCGATATTTTATTATAAACGGTGAAAATTTAGATTTGAAATGTATAGATCAGTATTTTTCAGCAAATTATTCA